CATGTGATAGACTCAGTGGGACTTTGTTTTGGCAACATAGAGAAATGGGGATAAAACACAGAGAAGTCTGCATCTGATGAGGTTGACAGTGTCTTTCATATACTGAATTTACTCAAATCTAATGCTCACTTTTTTGTTGTCTAAATTACTTCCGCAAAATTAGGTTGCACATTAGATTCGAGTAATATTGTAACCTTAATTCTGAGCCGAACTAAAAGGGGAAGCTTCTTCAGGAGCACTTGGAGCTCCTATTTCAGATATGTCATCTCCAATTTAATGGCCACAGCTCAATGCTATGCAGTCGTGAGATTTGTAGTTTGATGAGCCACCAGCATTCTTCGGCAGAGAAAGTTGTAAAACCTTGTAAAACTACATGATTTCATACAATTGAGTTAAAGTGGATCCATTCTACAGCATAGATGTGCCCCAAGGTTTTGGTTTTGCTTTTTTTTTTTCAACTGTTGAAAGCTTTGGAGTTCTAACACTTATAGAATCATTGAATCATATAATCATTGAATTGAAAGAGACCTCATGGGCTATCAAGTCCAACCCCCTGCCAAGAAGCAGCAAAATCGTGTTCAAAGCACCCCCACCATCCAGCCTCTGTTTAAAAGCCTGCAAAGAAGGAGCCTCCACCACAGTCTGGGGCAGAGAGTTCCACTGCTGAACAGCTCTCACAGTTAAGAAGTTCTTCCTAATGTTTAGATGGAATCTACTTTCCTGTAGTTTGAGGCATTGTTCCATGCCCTAGTCTTCCAAGGTAGCAGAAAACAAGCTTGCTCCCCACCTTAAAACTTCCCCTCACATATTTATACATGGCCATCATTTCTCCTCTCAGCCTTCTCTTCTGCAGGCTAAACATGCTCAGCTCTTTCATCCGCTCCTCATAGGGCTTCTTGTCTAGACCATTAGTTGCCCTCCTCTGGACATATTCCAGCTTGTCAACATCTTCCTTCAATTGCATTGCCCAGAATTTGACACAGAATTCCAGGTGTGGTCAGACCAAGGCAGACTAGAGGGGTAGTATGGATTCCCTGGATCTAGACACTATACTTCTATTTATGCAGGCCAAAATCCCATTGGCTATTTTTGCTGCTGCATGACATTGTTGGCTCACTTGTTGTCCATGAGGACTTCAAGATCTTTTTCACATGTACTTCTGTTGAGCCAGGCATCTTCAGGCAGTCCTACAAGGGCCAGAAAAATAGTACAGGTCAATGACTGGCTTAGAAAATTGTGTCAGGAGGAACGCTTTGGCTTCCTCGACCATGGCCTGCTTTTCCAGGAGGATGGCCTACTGGCAAGGGATGGAGTGCATCTCACACAAGTAGGAAAACGCCTTTTTGCTCACAGACTCACAAACCTCATTAGGCGCACTTTAAAATAGGTCCACCGGGGGAGGGGACAACAGCCTTGTGAACGCTACATTACCCACAATGTCAGGGAACCGCCAGAAGGCTAAACGGGGGGTTGCACAAACACAACGAGGACCAAGTACCAAAAGCACAATAATCCCAATTAAACAGCTCGGGGGAAGATCTCAGGGGCTCACATGTCTTTACACTAATGCACAGAGCATGGGAAATAAACAAGACGAACTCCAACTTTTAGCACAACACCACAAATATGATATCATAGGCATCAATGAAACGTGGTGGGATGACTCCTATCACTGGAATGTAAACATGGAGGGCTATAACCTCTTTCACAGAAACTGAACAAAGGGGAGAGGAGGCGGAGTCAAAAACCGTTACGCTGCAGAAGAGATGCAAGACAGCAATCCGGGAAACCAGCTTGCAAGCATCTGGATAAGAATCAAGGGAACTGGGACTCAAAAAGATGTCTAGGCATCTACTACAGACCTCCAAACCAGGAGGAAGAAATAGATGAAGTCTTCTGCCAAGAGGTGAACAAACAGGCACAGAGAAGAGATGTAGCAATCATGGGGGGTTTCAACTATCCCGATATTTGCTGGAAAACAAACTTGGCTAAGAGTACAAGGTCCAACAAATTCCTCGCTTGCTTTGCAGACAATTTCATGGTCCAGAAGGTAGAAGAGGCAACAAGGGGATTGGTTACTCTTGATCTCATCCTAACAAATGCGGAGGACCTGATTGATGCGGTCGAAGTAGTAGGATCCTTAGGGGCAAGTGACCATGTGCTCCTGCAATTTGAGGTACAAAGGAAGGCCGAAACTAAGACAAGTAATACCTGCATTTTGGACTTTAGGAAAGCTGATTTCCGAAAAATGGAGGAAACACTGAGCAGCATTCCGTGGACACGGATACTAAAAGACAAGGGAGTTATGGATGAATGGGAATTTCTCAAGAATGAAATACTCAAGGCGCAATTGCAAACCATGCCAACAAAGAAAAAAAATAGGACAAGTGCAAAGAAGCAAGAATAGATGTCCAAAGAACTTCTAACTGTGCTGAGACCCAAAAGAGACATGCACAAGAAGTGGAAAAAGGGAGATTACCAAAGAAGAATTCAAACAAATAGCCAACACCTGTAGGGAAAAGGTCCGCAAGGCTAAAGCACAAAATGAGCTCAGGCTTGCCAGGGACATTAAAAACAATAAAAAGAGTTTCTTTTTTATGTCAGTAGAAAAAGGAAAAACAAGGAGGCGATAGGGCCTCTTTGAGGAGAAGATGGGGTAATGCTGACAGGGGATAGGGAAAAGGCAGAACTATACCTTCTTTGCCTCGGTCTTCTCACAAAAAGAAAGTCATCTTCAACCTCAGCAAGATGGAGTGGGTGAGGGATTAGAGGACATCTAACCCCAAATTGGGAAACAAGTCATCCAGGAATACCTGGCCGCTCTAAGTGAGTTCAAGTCCCCAGGGCCAGATCAACTACACCCAAGAGTATTGAAGGAACTAGTGGAAGTCATTTCTGAACCATTGGCAATCATCTTTGAGAGTTCTTGGAGAATGGGAGAAGTTCCAGCAGACTGGAGGAGGGCCAATGTGGTCCCAATCTTCAAGAAGGGATAAAAGGATGACCCAAACAATTACCGTCCGGTCAGCCTCACGTCGATAACAGGCAAGACTCTGGAAAAGACTGTCAAGGAAGTGGTCTGCAAGCACTTAGAAACAAATGCGGTCATCGCTAATAGTCAACATGGATTTATCAAAAACAAGTCATGCCAGACTAATCTGATCTCTTTTTTCGATAGAGTTACAAGCTGGGTAGATGCGGGGAATGCCGTGGATGTAGCGTACCTGGATTTCAGTAAGGCCTTCGACAAGGTCCCCATGACCTTCTGGCAAACAAACTAGTCCAATGTGGGCTAGGCAAAACTATGATGAGGTGGATCAGTAATTGGTTAAATGGACAAACCCAGAGGGTGCTCACCAATGCTTCCTATTCATCTTGGAAATGCCCTTTTGCTTCTGTACATTACATTTGCCAGCAAATACTTTTTTGGTTTCAGGGTTTTGAAAATTGAGGTAAGCATTAGATTTGATGGTACATTAGACTCGAGTAAATTTAATGGATCTAAGAAGCCCCATTAAGGTTACCTTAGATCAAGTTCATGTGGGATTTGGCACCATGGAACTGATCTAGCCCCGATATAAGTGGTCAATGTAGAGCTGTCCCACCTTTTGGAACAGAATATGTCTTTGTTTTTATTTTCCAGATACAAATGTCTATTCATAGCTTTTTAAGAGTTGAGACTAAAAACATTTCGTCCCCTCCCTATCAGTAGGCAGTTGTAATACTTAAAACTGTGGCTTCTAAGAGGGTTAATTGATAATATATCTTGGAGAAGTTACCTTTTGGAAAATATCTCCCAGAATACCTTGTATAAATGGCATCCCCAAGCTCCAGATTAAAGCCTACTAAATGTAGGCATTTTTTTCAGATTGAATGAATTAGGTATTTGTGAAACTAATGCAATTCAGTGACCAGTATTTTCTTTTCTTGTTTATTACATACTTGTTCCGTCTTCCAGGAGTATAGTTTGCATTACCTTTTAGTTGCATGAGATAGTGTTCCTTTGCATTTTCCCAGGGTTGCTACAGACTTAGCAGCAACCTGGAAGTTAAACAGTATCAGAGTCTGCAAACCAGACTGCAGGCCCTCTGTAGCTATTGATTTAGAAAAGTATCTCTTTGGGTCTAGGGACCGCCTTTTTTCCTGGGTTGAGATCTCCATTTTGGAATCTCCCCTGCCTCCTTCAGTAGAGAAAGAAAGCTTCAGATGTGCTGTTGGTCAGGCAGGTAGCTCTGAAAAAATCATTGTAAATACGATTGAGTTATATAGATAGATAGAAAGGTTAATTGAGCAACTAAGTTATATAGATAGAAAGATAGAGAAGTACAATTGATAGTAAGTATATCAATTGATATAGATAGTAATTGAGCAATTGGGATTGAGTTATATAGATAAAGAAGCTAATTAAGATAGATAGAATAGCAATTGAGTAATTGAGCAATTGAGTTATGGATAGCAATTGAGATATAGAAAAGTTATTGAACATTATTGAGCATTACTTCATCTCTAAAGATAACCTTGAGCTATAGATAGGGAAAAACCTGTTTTTTCTAGCCATAGCAGCTCAGGGTTAGGGTGAAAGGATCCCAGGATATTTTCTACCTTTTGGGGAAAAGTTACCTCAGTAACTGAAGGAAAGGAAAGAAAGATCATCTCTATGGTTTCACCAATTGACTGTTTTATTTGTAACTTTGACAAGCTGTGCCAAGTCTGCAAGGACTTTGAGAAATAAATATTCTGTTTCGGTGTTCAAAACCTGTAGCAGCCTCAGTTGCTGGGAATCTCAAGCTTCTAAAGAAAGACCCCTGCGGTCTGCCCAGACAAAGAGAGAAGCACATCTTAGTTTTATTTTTATAGGGTCTGGGTGTGACCGCATAATACTTAATGTCAGTGTGACATATTTTTCCATATTCAAAAAGGTATAACATTTTGGAGTGAAGAAACTTTAAATGTCCAAATTTATGTTAACTAGTTTTTAATAAAAGTAGTTTGATACCTACCCTATCTGTTTTCCCTTCGGTTTGAATACTGGTGCGGCTGCATGCATCATAGTCATCTTCAAGATCAGACATGCCTTCTAGTTCTTCTGGTGTCTGTACAAAGAAAATGGCAATATTTAAGAACATACACAGTGAAAAATATAGATATTACTTAATGTACTCACTTATTTTTGAACATCTGTCAATAACTGTTCCATAGGCCTGGAGTAAATGTCAGAATTGCATTGTGGGCTGAAAATGTCAAAGCTCCCCAATAATACATCAGACATCCAAGACTGAAGTAACTGTCAACAAGTTTTTCCCAAGGGCCTTCACAGCATCCAGAAGAGCTCCTGCTCTACTGTCTGTTAGCTTCTTTCATCCAGAATACCTCTGGTTCCTGATGGAGCATGAAGATTGCAAATAGATACAGACTTTGCCAGCATCTGATATTATGGCATGACCTCCAATACATGTAAATAAAAGTAGAAGAAATAATAAAAACAAGAAGTATATTGGTAACGAGCAGGCTCCTCCATTGACCTTGATACTGTGTCAGTCATACATTCATTTGAGGGCAAATGTATCAACTTCAACTTACAGCAATCTCAAAGAGTTTTCTTGGCAAGATTCTTTTTTCTAGAGGGAATTTACAACCCTTGTGTGTTTGACTTATTTTAGCATAATTAAATTACCATAATTGGAGAAGCTTCAGGGGCTCTTTTCTCCCTCATTTTTCAAGCTATTGGGGCAAAACTTGCTATAATGGTAGAACACATTTGCCAATATTAGCCAACAAGATTTCAGAATATTTCACTTATCCATGTAATTTTGGCAAATTTCCAAGTTTTTATTTTTAAAAACCCTTTTTTAATAATAAATAAAATATGTTCCTACTTTGAAAGTGTTATTTCCTGTTTCATTGTGTGGTTTTTGAAAGCAGTTCTACTCCAGAAAGTTTGCTTTTATGGCAGAAACTTTGTTATAATAGTGGAGACTCAACTAAGCAAAATGTGCTACTTTCCCTTGTGCAAAGACAAAGTTTTTGCAGTTTAATAAACTTTCATCATGTTTATGTGACAGAAACAATTAGGAAATGCCATTTATAACCCAGGAACAATAATCATAGTACAGACACCATCAAGGGTCATCTAGATTGACCCCCTTCTTCCGAGTAAAAAAGTACCATCCGAGTAAAAAAGCACCCAATTAATATGCTTCCTCTAATAAGTTGGAGGGGACTCCCAAGGGCATCCATTTTGGTCATTATTTTTTCCAGGCAACCACAGTGATTGGCTTACTTATTAGAAAGAGACGTATCAGTCAGTCTTCCTCTTTGCAGATTCTGGCTGCTGTTAGGAAGGGACAAACCTCTCTCCTGCTATCCTGATTGGTGCTTTCTGATGCTGATGCAGTCTGGGAAATATAGTTTAGGACAGGCATATGGCTACTCACTTCCCAAAGTATGTTTGTGCATGTGCATAATTAAATGACCATAACTGAGGGAACTTGCTTTCCCGCATTTTTGGGGTGAAACTTGCTACAGTGGTAGAACACATTTACCACACTCTGCCCAAGTTTCAGATCATTTCACTTATTCCTGTATTTTGGCAAATTTTCAAAGTTTTTATAAACAATGTTCTGCCAATTGGCCAGATCTTCTTGAATCTTTTGGCTGACTAACTGTAAACAGAAATATCCATTAACTGGTTTTTGGAAGCCCCCAGTGGTGCAATGGGTTAAACCCTAGTGCCGGTAGGACTGCTGACTAAACGGTCAGTGGTTCAAATCCGGGGATCAGGGTGAGCTCCCTTTGACAGCTCCAGGTTCTCATGCAGGGGTGTGAGATAAGCCTCCCATATGATGGTAAAACATTTCTATGTCCCCTGGGCAATGTCCTTGCAGATGGCCAATTCTCTCACACCAGAAATGACTTGTAGTTTTTCAAGTTGTTCCTGACACACAAAAAGGGGGGAAGCTCCTGAAAACGGATCTGGGCACCCAATGAAATTTGAATACCGAAACCAGATTGCCTTTCAGTTGAGTTGCACAAGCCTAGTGTTGAACTTCCTGCTGTTGACAATCTTCCTATGAAGGGGTGATGTAAACACATGATATATATGCAGAACATAACAAAAAAGTACTAGTTGGATTAGTGATATATAAGAGTCTACCAATCCTTTAACAGTAACTATTTTCTTTTCTGTTTAGCTCTTTAGAACAACAGCACACAGATATTTTCACCCCAAAATTAAACAGCTAAGTAATTCAAATACTTGTCACTAGGCCTGTTTGATCAAAAAAAAAATGTTTCTAAAATCGATTTGTAATTGGGATGTTTTTTTGTTTCGATATTTAAAATATTTACAAAACTTTCAAAAAAAAGTTTTGTTATTTACAAAATTTCATAAATATTTACAAAACATTTTGTAAAGATGGCGGACCCCCGCGCATGCGTAAAAAACACTTCCGAAGCTTCGTTATTTCTGAGGATGCCTGCCATACATGCAGGCAAAACGTCAGGAGAGAATGCTTCCTTCCTTCCCCTTCCCCCTTTCTCTCCCCTTCCCCCTTTCTCTCCCCTTCCCCTTCCTTCTCCTTCCCCCTCCCTCCTTCCCTCCCTTCCTTTCCTTCTTCCTTCCTTCCTTCCTTCCCTTGCCCCAGATGCCGGCCCGGGGAAGCCAGCGTTGCCTGGCCACGCCCACCCGGCGCCGCCTCCGCTTGTTCTCCTGGCACAGCTGGGAGGGGAACAGGAGGTGCTTCATGGCCGCAGATCTTCTTCTGCTGTGCTCTCTTGTTCTCCGTGGCCACGAGACGCCACCTGCTTCCCTCCCAGCCGTGCCAGGAGAACAAGCGGAGGCAGCGCCTGGCCCGGTGTACCACGGAGAGAAAGAAGAAGGAAGGAAAGGAAGGGAGGGAAGGAGGGAGGGAAGGAGGGGAAAGGAGAAGAAAGGGAAGGAAGGAAGGGGAAGGGAAGAGAAAGGGGCCAGGGGAAGGAAAGAAGGAAAGAGGGGGAAGCCTGGTCCGGCAAAGTTTGGTCCAGATCCAACATTGTTTGAGTCCACAGTGATCTCTGGATGTAGGTAAACTACAACTCCAAAACTCAAGGTCAATGCCCACCAAACCCTTCCAGTATTTTCTGTTGATGGGAGAACTGTGTGCCAAGTTTGGTTCAATTCCATGTTGGTGGGTTCAGAATGCTCTTTATTGTAGGTTAACTATAAATCCCAACTACAACTCCCAAATGACAAAATCAATTTTTTTTTTAAGTGCATCTTTCATCATTTATTACAAAGCTCTGAAAACGCCATTCCCCAAAGGCTTGCATGAAAAAAGGCCAAGAGAGAAGAAGCACATTTAATACAAACTAGGTCAAAAGGAAGGAAGGAAGGAAGGAAGGAAGGAAGGAAGGAAGGAAGGAAGGAAGGAAGGAAGGAAGGAAGGAAGGAAGGAAGGATCTGGAAAAGGGAGGAAGAGAGAAGAGGGAATGCAGGAAGGGGCCAGCGGCTGCAGGAAACTCCCTAACTTGGCCCTCCTGCCTCAGGAAAGTTTGACTAGCTGCCAGCCCAGCCTGAGAGAGAGAGACAGAAGCAGCAGCGCCACTGGATGGGTTGAGCTGAGGAGGAGGAAAAAAAGACCCCAACCACCAAGCGTGCGCCTGTGTGTGCGCGCGCGGGTAGAGACTCCCTTCACCAAAAGCGGCCATGTCAAAGGCGCAGCCGGGTGATTGGCAGGCGAGGGGCGGAGCCGGAGGATCCTTTCTCCCGCGACGCGCTCCTGCCTTAAAGAGACAGCACACTTTTTTCCCTCTCTCCCTCTCTTTCGACTGTTTGGAGGAGCGAGCAAGCAAGCAAGCTCACTGGGTGCGCGCTCGCGCCGCCCGCCCCATTTACGAAACGGGCGAAAGCTCGTAAAAACTGTGGGGGCTGCTGTTTCGATATTTAAAAACCCTTCCGGGTTTGAAAATATGTTTTGTTATCATTTCGGATATGCAAAAATTAACGAATGTTTAACGAATTAACGAATTAACGAACGAAACCGCACAGGCCTACTTGTCACCATTTCTCCTAGCTTTATGCCTGCAATGTAATTAGAAATCATACATAATAGAGAAGGAGATGTCAAAAAATGGACATGGCACTTAAAATTTTTTCTTCTTACTCTAGTTTTCTTATTTCTCTAGTTTGTAGAAACCTAGGGTTGTCACACACTATGGTTTCATTTAATGCTACATTTTTCTCTCTGTGATCCTAGTAAGCACTCTAAATGATTATCCAAGCCTGACTTTGTAAGTATAGATTTTAGTTATGTTCCTTATTCATGTTAACAATCACTGTTTTATATGGCCAATTAGGAAAGTACTCTCTTTCTCTCTCTTTCTCTCTCCCTCTCTTTTCTTGGATCTAAAGACAACTTCATTTTCAAGAATACTTCTTAAATGCCAGAGAATGTTAGGTGGCTACATAGATAGAGATTGCTTAAAATAGTTCAAATGCTTTCAAATATTCATATAGATGTACATATAAGGAATGATTGCTCATAAAGACTGTGTTGTGTTTTGAACCAACTAGGGATTTGGTTTGACTACAATTACTCTGTGCTTATCCAATTTTTCCTCTGACTTATGAATACTGAAAAACAAAACAGTATAGCTTGTGTTTTCAAAATAGTGGTACTGATGCCTAGAATAGTCAACCTTGTTTGCACACAATTCTTACATTGAAAAAAAGATTGCACTAAAGATGCAAAAAACCCCAAACAAACCCTTTACACTTTTTATTTGGTTGTTTCTCTGAATCCCAATGCAAGCTTGTCCCATTCTTCAACTGTATCTTTTTGTGAGACTGTTTCATTTTCCTAAATGAGAATTTGTATGAATTTTTCCTATTGTAAATGTTTTACATAAATAAATATATTTATGAATATTTTTCAGTGATGTACATTTTTAGTCATCTATATTTTATAATGTACACATGTTTGAAGCTTCAATATGCCCCACAGTTTCCAAAGATAACAAGGGTGTGTTACAGTACTACAGGGTGAGGCAGCATAACTTCCTTTTTTCAAAAATTAATAAAGCCCACTGTATGAATCAGAAATTTTTATTTATTTTT